CAAGTGTATTCATATTCAAACAAACGGACCAATTGCACCAGGCGGGGAGAGGGAGCATCCAATCGGCTGGCGCGAGGCCCCGGCGCTGCTTTGCATAAAGCAATATTTTGTGTGGGAGCGAGCGGAGCATTTGCATGTTGCGGAGTGATTAGTGGGTTTGAAAAGCGAACCGTGGCTCGGCCTCATTTCCCGCTCTGGTTCAGGCGCAGGAGGAAGTGTTTTGCTGGAGGATGATGACAGAGGTCAGGCTTCGCTAATGGGCCAGTGAGGAGCGGTGGAGGCGAGGCCGGGCGCCGGCACACACACATTAACACACTTGAGCCATCACCAATCAGCATAGGTGTGCTGGCTGCAGCCACTTCCCTCACCCACACTCTTTATCTCTCACTCTCCAGCCGCTGACAGCCCATTTTATTGTCAATCTCTGTCTCCTTCCCAGGGATCTGAGAATTGCTCTCACACACCAAACCAGCAGCGTCCGTGGAGAAAACTCTCACCAGCAACTCCTTTAAAACACCGTCATTGCAAACCATTGTGGTCTTTAAGCAACAACAACAGCAAAAAAACCCCAACCAACCAAAACTCTTGACAGGAGAGCTTTGACGAGAGAGGATGCCTCATAAAGGTGAGTCCGCTTCTTTCTTCTTGCTTCATTTTTACTGCAATATTCAGGCAGGTCTCCCCTTTCCTCCCTCCTTCCTTCCTCCCTCTGGCCGGTCCCCTCCCCCACTGCTACGCCGGGAGAGTTGGGCCGGAGAAGTTTCCACGCAGGAGCCCAAACTTTCTACTTCCAGCGAAAGCCCGCGTCGGAGGGCGACAGCCGGCGAGCGGGAGCGGCGCAGGGCTCGGGGCAGGCGGCCGGCTCAGTCCCAGCGCCAGCACGAGCTAGGCTCGCTGGAAGAACCGAGGCTCCGGGCGCAGCAGCAGCCGCGGCTCCCGACCCCAACGTCGCCAAATGCCCCCGGCCGGCGGCAGAGGACGAAGAGGCTCTGCGGTGCCCCAGGCCCGGGAACGGCTTCGGAGACCCGGCTCCGCCGGCTGCTTTGTCCGGCCGAGGGCCCAGCGAGCGCGCACGGAGCGAGCGTGCGGAGGGAGCGCCAAGGAGCCAGCTCGCCGCGTCGCCGCCCGCCCGCCCTCCGGCTTTGTGCGGCGCTCGGCTCGGGCACCGACGAGTCCGCGGGCACTCGAGCGCCGAGGGGCACCGCGTCCGCCGACAGCCGGAGCAGAGTCAGTCGGCAAGGCAGCCACACGCTGGAGGCAGAGAGAAAGAGCGAGTGAGCGTGAGCCGGGAAGGAAGCCACCAGGCCAAGGCGGGCGAACGCGCGCTCCAAGGGAGCTCAGAGCCGAGCGGGAGGATTGTCAGCTTCCATCAAGCCCCCAGGCTCTTGCCCCCAAGTTGAGCGTAGAGCTCGGAACTTGAAAACTCTCTGCTCCCCAGGCTTCCCCCCAACCGTCGCCCTCGCCCTGCGAAAGCTGGGGTCTTCCCTATCCTCCAGCTCCCAGCGCTCGGTGGGTATTTTTCCTTGTCTTCCTCTGACAAAGCTGCACCCGGTGTAGCCATTTCAACAAGTTTCGAGGTGGAAAGGTGGATTGCTTTAAAAAAAAAAAAAAAAAAACAAATCTCCTGATTTTTTTCTTTGTGAGGCCTCAAAAAAAAAAAAATCAATATGAAAGATTTGGCTTTCCCCTTCGTCTGATCACATCCTCTTCCCAGCTAATTAGTCTGAGTAATTTGAGAGCTTTTCGATTCTAAGACCCCAGGAGGAAAAGTGTCTTTTCAAAGTTCATAAAGTTGTTGCCTCTTTCCTTGTGCAGATTTTCTCAGTCTCCCTGGATCATAATAGCCCTGAATTTTAGCAAGTGTAATTGGGGGGAAATGGAGTTGAATTTCAAGTGGAAATGCTTTCTTTTTCGAGTGCTTAAACCCGGCCCTCCAGTCATGAGTGATTTCTAGAAAGTTTAAAAACAAAGTGAACGTGGTTTCTCCCCCCCGCCCCAATACTCTCTAAAGCTTCCTAAGCCATTTTGGACGTTTAACTCGAACTTGGGAAGATTTGAGGAGGGGGCAGAGGCAGAAAATGAAATGAAAAGGAAAGAGCTTGAAAGCCTGGTGAGTTTACCAAGGAGAAATAATAGTTGTTGCCGTTGACATTACATTTTTCATAGCCAGCGACCTTTGCAAATGTCTGAAGACAATTTGATAAGTTGTTATCTTATTTGGCCCTAGAGAGTGAAACTTTGTCATCTTAATTGCTAATTACTCTTTGGCTGGGGGCCGGTAGGGCCGAAAGTGAGCTCTCCCCTTCACCCCAGCTGAGGAGTTTGGGATGGATTTTGAGAATTAAGTGATTAAAACCACTGCATTTGAAAGCAGAGGCTTGAGTCAGGGATGGGGGTGGCAGTGGCCCAGTGGTCTAGAGGACTGAGGCCCCATTGGACTCTGAGGTGTCTGAAGACTCTTTCTTTCCCCGAGTGAGTCTCTGACTGGACTAGGGCTGTAGAAAGCGCTGGGCTGAGCTGGGGGGCGATGGGGGGGTGTTCTGGCTGCAACTGGGGGTTCTAGCCTCCCCGTCCACGACTGCTTCCAGGTGTCCGCATGGCCAGCTCCCCTGGTGGCTTTTGCACTAAGTTTTAATGATTACTTAAGTAATTAAATATCTTCTTAGATGAGATCGAGGTGGGAATGGAGCAGAACTGGAACTTGAAATGCTTCCACCTTCCCGGTTGCCTCAAAAATTAATCGGGTGGGCCTCTCTGGAATTGGCTAGTAATTTTTTTTTTTTAATGGCTTCAAAAATGTCTGGGCCAGGATGGGGGCATTCAGTTGTGGCTGAGTACAGTGTGAATTAGAGAGAGGAGTTCAGGAAGTTTTACCCCTTCTAGGAGAATTCCACTTCCCCTCTCCCTGGCCACGACTACTTTGCAGTTTCAGAGTCCCACTCTGAGGTGGGGGAGGCACATTCTTCAAGAAGTTGGGGTTTCTCCCCATTCTGGATCTGACTCTGGTTGTGGGGACTGAGAGACAGGAGGAAGGCCCTCGGAGCCAACCCAGCTAGAGGTAACTAGGTAGCCCTCTGCTGTCTCTGGTATTTACCAGGCCACATTCGGAAGCTGGGAAAATTCCTCCTCTTAAGTTTATTTTTATGGATTTAAGCTGCCTCCCAGCTAGTTAATAAATTAGACCATGAATGGCCTTGAAGAGAAAAAATGTACTTCTTGGAATTCTTTGCTTGTAGGCAGGCAAGATTAATAATCACAATAAGCAAAACAGAAAAAAAGAATGAATATTTTAGTTTTTTTTAAACGGAGAAATAATGCTGTGACTATTTAATTATTTTACCTCTTTTTTTTTTTTTTTTGCAAACCTCTTGAATAGGTTCTTTATTGTAACTCTCTCTTCCCAATTGAGCTCCCCACGGTGCCGTTGTATCTTTTTACAGCCCCTAACAACTCACACCAGTAACACAATTACCTCCAGATATTTATAACAAGAAATTACTTTTCTATTTTCTCCACCTCCCCCCCTCTTTTTAGGGCAAGGCAGGGAGGGGGTGGTGGAGGGCGAACCTTGGGGGACCTGCGCTGGGTCAGGACTTACAAAGCTAGAAGTGTCCCTCTGTTCCCTTTGTGAGTTGGTGGGTTGTTGGTACATTTGGTTGGAAGCTGTGTTGCTGGTTAGGGAGACTCGTTTTTGCTCTTTGGGTTTGGGGAGAGCTGGAGAATAGAAGCCATTGTTCGCTGTCTGTAGGCTTTGTCGACCACGCTCACCCCCTCCTGTTCGTACTTTTTAAAGCAGTGAGGCGAGGTAGACAGCGTGTGTCACAGTACAGTAAAAGGGGGGAAGATCTAAACACCAAAAGAGAAGTTAATCACAATAAGTGAGGTTTGGGGGGGGGGAGGTTGGGCTCGCTACTTTCAAAGTCCCAGAAAGGGTGGGAGGTGGGTGGAGTGGGGGCCTGGCTGGGAAGCTTTGAGGGAGAGAGTGGAAGATGAAGGGGTAGCCAGAGAGTTGGGTGCCGGGGGCGTTGGGGGAACTCCGGTGGTGAAACTCCTTAAGGAGGGAGTATGGGCTCTGCGGTCCTTCTGATCTGCCCCAGCCTGCACCCTCGGGCACCCCGAAGTTTAGAGATCCTCCTCCCCTCACCTCTAAACTTCAGGTATTAGTCTTTAGCCTCTTGTCCTAACACCACTGTGTCTCTTGTTCTCCCCTTTCTCTTTAACCGATTCTTGATATTTTTGCAAAATGGTTCCCTGACTTGTCAGATTCTCCAGTTCTCCCAAGCCAGGCCAGAGTAGCCACTTTTAAAAGGTGGGAACTTCTGCAAGAGAGGCAGCTGGAAATGTGGTTGTAACTCTGGGATTTAGGGTTTTATGGTAGTTTGAGCCCTAGATGCATGTTTTGTTTTGTTGTGTTTTTCTGAGTGTGGCTCTGAGAGCCCATGGGCCTATGCTTTTGAGCCACAGTTTGACGTACCTTTCTCTCCTTTTGTTTTGTCTTAGGGGGAAGACTTTAACTAGGGGTGCGCAGATGTGTGAGACCTTTTATTGTAAGAGTGGACAGACATCCCAGATTTCAGGCAAGTTCTGCGGTGGCTGCTTTGGGTTCCAAAATGTGAAAGAGTCAGAAATACTTCTTCATTGTTGTTCACATGGAAGAAGAAGAAGAAAAAAATCGAAATTGGGTCATTTCTTCTGATTCAAGAGTGAACTACTAGGGGGTTTGGGGAAAACAGTTTGGGAATATTGGAGTATTTTATTTGTAACCCAAAGGGTAGATTTTGCATGCACTGGAGGGCAGAGGTGGATGCCCCTCAGATGGCCCCAAGCAATTGAGTGGATCATTTCCTCAAGAAGGGGCATTCTGCTGTCCTGGCTCCAGGTCATCCTCTGTTGGGAGGTAGGCCTACCTGGCGTGGGCCCAGGATTAACGCCTATGTTCTTGCTAACAGAGCCCCATATTCGAACCCCGTGGGATCCCGCGGCCCCCAGCCAGTGCCAGCATGCAGAACAGTAAGTGCCTCTGGTCTTTCTCAGACTTCGGGCTGGGGACACGCGGACTGGCGGGTCAGGGGAGGGCGGAGAGGTTCGCGGTGTCCACATTGGCCAGGCCGTCTGGCGCGAGGGAAGAGGCCCGGGGACCTGAGGCAGCTGCGCCCCCCTTCGCTCACGGCAACCCGAGAGGGGAGGACGTTTGTTCTGCTGTTCTCGCTCCTGGAAGAACAGGGGCTGGGCCCTTCAGAACAGCCCGCTAGAGTTTGCGAAGCTGAGGTAGAGAAACCCCATCCCCCCCCCAAATCCTGTAACTCACACCCCCCTCCCCGCCCCTGCCCGGGCTCTGACCCCAGAGAGAGAGAGGCTGGGCTGAACAGGGCGGGGCGGAGGCTTCTCCTAGTTGCGCGAGGAGAAGGAGGCCCCTTTGGGTTTAGCCAAGACTGAACGTCTCTGCCATCCGGGCGGGGTGGGGTGGGGTGGGGTGGGGGGCTCCCCTCCCCCAGTCACTCTCAGGACAGCTCCTCCCCTCCCCCACCCCAGCTTTGGGCCTAGAAGGCAAAGGGAGCAGGGCACCCCAGCCTGCGGTGGTGGGCGGGGGGAGGCTCAGGGGAAGGTGGTAAAACTGGGACCCTGGGGCTGTTACTGGCCAGAGCAGGTTTACTGGGTTTGGGAAGAGAGTGGGTGTCGAGCCTTGGAGCTGGAGAAGCCCTGCCCTGGTAGCTATGCGGGTTCTGATCGTTCCAGGCCCGCAGTGCCTTTGATTCCCCGTTCCTGTGCCTCCCATCCTCTCTCTGCCCAGGCCCCTTGGGCCCCAGCCCACCTTCCTGCTCCGTCCGTGGGTACTGGTATGTGGCAGGGCTAGTCTGGAGCCCGGGCCTGGGAGCCTCGAGACCCAGTGAAACTAGGCCTGGGTTGTGAGGTGCAGAGTCTGGACGCGATTTAAGGGTTCAGCTGTGGTTGGAGTGCGGAAAGGCCTGTCTTCTAGCAACCTTCCCTTGGCGAACTGCAGACTTCGGAGGGTCTCCAATGCCCGATCCATGTGTCCTGGAAGCGCTAGCCAACCCAGGTGCTTCCGTGGCTGCTGGGCGCGAAGCCCACGAGGGGACTCAAAGGTGGCGAGCTTTAGGGCGGGTTAGTTGTGCGGAACCTGCCAGGCCCGGGAGGGACCCTCCTTGGCGAGGCAAGGGCTTCTGCCCACCTCTCCTGGCTGCTGGGTTCTCGCCCTGCAGCTCAGCCTCCGCAGCCGTAGGCTCTCGGGCCGGTTCCGGCCCGGGCGTGCGGCGCTGAGCGTTTGCGGCTGCGGCCTGGCTGGCAGGCCCCGAGGGGCGCGGGGTCGCGGGCCGGCCTGCAGGGCTTTGTGCCGCTCGCTCTCGGGTGTGCGCGAGGCGCAGAGCATCCAAATTGACACCATATGTTTTCCTATTAGATGCTTCGCGGTCGAATTCTAGGCGCATAATCATCGCCACTGGGCGAGAGCTCCAGCCGTCCCTAGGGAAGGGACACAATGATTGAGGCTTAACCTCTGAAGGGGAACTGAGAGTGGCGCTTCCTCGCTGCCTTTTCGACGCTGGCAGAGGCAACCTGGCCCTGGCGTCCCCTGGGCGAGCACCGAGCACCGGCCGGCGGTCGCTGCGGAGGTGGCCGACCCGTTAGTTTTTGCAATGGGGGGAGAAGGAGGGAAGTCTCGGATTAGGCGGCCTCACACACCTTGGCAGGCATAGATTGGGAATTGCCCAGGCTGTGCGTGAAGTTTGGAAAGTCTTCCTCAGTCTCTCTCTGGGACAGCCTTTCGCTTCCCGGGAAGGCTCCCTTTGCCCAAAGGGAAGGCTCCGCTGCTGGAGCAGTAGATTGGTCTTGGGAGGCAAAGGAAGGCAATAAAGGGAACTTAGGAGAAACCGGAAGCGGGGACTAGGCCTCGCTCTGTTGGAGAAGCGGTGTCCCCGAGATGTCCCCGCTCGCGCTGGGCCCGGCCGGAGCCCAGATCCCCCAAACGCCTGTCACTTCTCATCGAGTTGAGGCTCTGCCCCCGCCCCCGTCGGTGAGGGCCCCCCTCCGCCCCAAGCCTTTGGCTACCCTGAAAACGCAGCTCCCCTCGAAGGGGAAACGAGTGCAGTTCAATCTCGTCTGAGTGATCTACAAATAGGGACGGAAAGGGTCGTTTTATCACGGTCCCGTTTGTCGTGACGATGCAATTTCCCGGAGCGGAGCACTGTCACAAAGTGACAAGGCTGCCACAAGCGCCCCGACTGATCTTTTCAATTAGCCTTCCATGCATGATCCGGAGCGACTTCCGCCTATTTCCAGAAATTAAGCTCAAACTTGACGTGCAGCTAGTTTTATTTTAAAGACAAATGTCAGAGAGGCTCATCATATTTTCCCCCCTCTTCTATATTTGGAGCTTATTTATTGCTAAGAAGCTCAGGCTCCTGGAGTCAATTTATCAGAGGCTCCAAGGAGAAGAGAGAAGAGGAGAGGAGAGAGCAGGGAGCTGAGCAGGGAGCCACGTCTTCTCCTGGAAGGGCTGCTCTCTAGAGTCGGGGCTGCAGGTTGGAGATTTTTAAGGAAGTGGAAATTGGCAATTGGCTTTATTTGTGTGCCTGTGGTTACTGGGGAGGGGGCTACTGAGAGGTGCTAACTCCCTTTCTCTATTCTCTGAGATTAGACAATGGGGATGAGGTCGGGAAAATAACAAGATAAAGGAGGGCTAGAAGACACTGTGGTGTGCTCCTTTCTTTTTCCTGTCGCTTTTTGCTGATATCTGTGCTTGGCTGTGTGGAAGGCCGAGGTTAGCAGTGGAAGTAAAACAAGCTGTGGCCGGTGTGAATGCACTCCAGGCTCTCGGCCCCACTGCTGCAAGCCGAACTACTTTGTGTTTGGAGCCGATCTGGGGCTCTGGACTGGATGCGCAGGTTGGGGTTCACCAGCCACAGATTTGCTGCTCTGGTTCTTCTCTACTCCCTTCCCATCTCTTCATATATGTGTGTGTGTGTGTGTGTGTGTGTGTGTGTGTGTGTACACATATATATATACATATATATATAATGTAATATAATAGATATACATGTAATTTTTTTTCAACTCTGCTGATTGTGCCTTCGCCAAAGTTTGGAGCGTGACAGCAAACGTTTCTGGACTCTGGCGTCCAAGGGAACGCTCAAGAGCTGTAGGATTTGCTATCACAGTTCCAACAATGCAGAGAGACCTTGGAGATTGAGTGTGGGTTCCACAGAACCCACGTTCTGCCGTGACATTCAGAGGGGATCTTTGGGAGGATATTTTTTGGAAGACTGTTTGCACCTTGTGGGTTCAGAGGCTGGCTGAGATGTCTATGAAGAGGGGCAAGTGGGCTGGGGCACGGCAGGAGTGAGAGCGGGAGTGAGGTGCATGTGTTCTTGCTCATTGGCAGGTGTCTGCACGGTGCTCCTGCAGTCCGGGGGGCAGGAGCGCGGCTGTGCTGGGCTGGGCCGCCTGCCGCCCTGCGTGCTTGCGTGGTCCCATTGTCGTTTTTGATCGATAGCAGGGACCCGATTGCTGAGCTTGGCATGCTCTGGCAGGGAGCTGAGGATGCATTGTGGTTGTCTTCTCTTCCTCTTCCTCGTCTTCCTTCTCCTCTTTCTCTTTACTCCTCTACCTCTCCTCTCCTCCTTGCTCTGCTCTCCTCTCCTCTCCTCTCCTCTCCCTTTTCCTCAGGTCACAGCGGAGTGAATCAGCTCGGTGGTGTGTTTGTCAACGGGCGGCCACTGCCGGACTCCACCCGGCAGAAGATCGTAGAGCTAGCTCACAGCGGGGCCCGGCCGTGCGACATTTCCCGAATTCTGCAGGTGATCCTCCCGGCGCCGCCCCACTCGCCGCCCCCGCGGCCCTCCACTCTCAACGCCCTCTCTTCATTTCTTACTGTAAACGCTGCTAATTATGGACCCCCCCACCCCACCCCAGTCCCTACCCCACTCCCCTGCCATTCCCGCTTTCCCCTTTCCTTCCAACATCCTTCCCTATCTCTTTCAACCTGGGTCAGTCACATAAGATAACTCATCTGCTTAAGAAAAAAAAAAAAGTGTGTGTGAATTAAAAAAAAAAAACAAAAAACCAAGCACCTTTCTCTTTTCATTTGGTAAAAACATCAAATGTGGTAACAGTTTATGAACTATAATAAGCTGAGTTGTATAAACCAGCATAATTTCATTCTCTTTTCCCTCATCCCATGCTCACCTCAGATTCTGAGATATTTGTTTGCATTCTTCATATTCATGAAGGATATATATTGATTTTAAAAGGCAAATGCTATTTACCTCCCTACCTCACTCACATTTACTCGACTGGGCATATTTTTTTAAAGGAAAATAAGTACAATTTTAGTTTATTTTCCTCTTTTGCTCATTAAAATATAACACCACTTTAAGCAAGGTCAGCACAAAAAAATTAATCTGACTTCGTTTTGATGCATCTTCAGGCAAATGTTTAAGAAAACAGTTTTTTTTTAAAAAACTTTTAAATTAGTTTTTTTTTAGTTCAAACTGTTTGAAAGTATCATCATATTTGTAGTTTTTAGGGCTACAAATGTAATTTTAAGAAAAAAAGCTCTCTACAGTAAGTTCTCATACCATTGAAGGTATATTTTTGTGTTATAGACCCATGCAGATGCAAAAGTCCAAGTGCTGGACAATCAAAACGTAAGCTTGTCATTGTTTAATGCATACTTAAACAATTTTATTTTTGTCTTGAAATTATTAATAATGTGGTTTTCTGTCCACTTCCCCTATGCAGGTGTCCAACGGATGTGTGAGTAAAATTCTGGGCAGGTATTACGAGACTGGCTCCATCAGACCCAGGGCAATCGGTGGTAGTAAACCAAGAGTAGCGACTCCAGAAGTTGTAAGCAAAATAGCCCAGTATAAGCGGGAGTGCCCGTCCATCTTTGCTTGGGAAATCCGAGACAGATTACTGTCCGAGGGGGTCTGTACCAACGATAACATACCAAGTGTAAGTTCACCGATCACATTCCCCCTCCCTGCCCTAAGCCCCATGCTCTTTCCTCTCTACCATCTTTCTCTTCACCTGCCTACCCATCTCCTCCCTACCAGTGTCATTCTGCCTCTGTCCCCTCCCTGCTCCATCTATGTCACCTCTGTATCTCGGGGTGTTGACAGGAGGACACTGATCTTTCTTTTTTTTTTTGATCTTCTGGAAAATGGGAGTCAAGTGTGGGGAGCTGTTCACCTTATTTGCATGCTGCAGAGTAGAGGGTGGAGGCACTCAGGGAAAGGCCCTTGAATCAAGAAGGAAAATGAAAATGAAAACCAAATTCTAACGTCCTCCAACTCAGACTGCCTGAACCTTCCTTCAGGTGTCAAACATCCACTTCTGCCCTAATATGAAACAAAGTGAAAGAAAGCTCTAAACCAAGTCATAGTCTTTTTTTGAGGAAGTCTTTTAACAAAGATTAGGTCACCGCAGACATCCAGCAGCAGTGAAGGAAGAAATGCCCTCTCCATCCCGCATTCTCTGCCCAACCCAGTTTCCACGCCCAAAGTGATGGCTGTCATTCTGTCCAAAATGTCTCTGCAAATCCACCCACTGTCCCAGGATGGCTGGGAGTTTGTGTGTGTGTGTGTGTGTGTGTGTGTGTGTGTGTGTGTGTGTGTGTGTGTGTGTTTTAACGTGTTAAGGGTTGTTCTTTAAGAGAGTGGGTGTGCTGAATTGGGGACTAAAGATAGGGCAACTGTCTTCGGGAGACGCTACCATTTGGTTTGATTTTGGTTTGATTTGCAGGTGTCATCAATAAACAGAGTTCTTCGCAACCTGGCTAGCGAAAAGCAACAGATGGGCGCAGACGGCATGTATGATAAACTAAGGATGTTGAACGGGCAGACCGGAAGCTGGGGCACCCGCCCGGGTTGGTATCCGGGGACTTCTGTGCCAGGGCAACCTACGCAAGGTAAAAACCTGAGCACTCACCCTCAAAAGTCTCCATATAGGGAGCCACTTGTCCAACTTCTCCCCCAACTTCTCCGCTCTCCTCACTTCTGTGCTGGAAGAACGTAGTGGAGAGACTCTTTTAAGGGCTTGGGACACACTGACTTGCCCTGTATAAGGGTAGTATTTGTTGAACTATCTCATTGGCCTTCGAATTTGAGGGTGGTGGATGTCAGGAGTAGTAAGAATGTGGCTGGTGCGTGCGCGCGCGCGCGTAGGTTATGGGCAGGAATATGTGCGTGTGTAAGAGTTAGCTGAGTGGTGCCCTATTCAAATTTGCCATTAAAATGCACGGAGAGCCCCCTTGCTGTAGAAGTGTGACAAGTTAACACACTGACAGACTGCGAGGTAAACATAATTGTATCGTTTTGCTTTTTGCCGTAATTGACAAATTATGTGACTATGAGTAGGGTGCATATGAAAGGGCGAGCGGCGAGGTGCAGGGCGGAGTACAGGATGGGGCACTGGAAGTGGTGGGCTCCCAACTCAAACAACCCCATCATCTCTGGTCGGATTCCCTCCGCTTCCCTGGGCCCCCAGTTCTCACCCTCTGTGGGTGGCGACTGCACAGAAGGGTGGGGTGAGGATACTGTGAACCGGCCTGCGGGGTGTCGGGAGCCGCTGGCTCGGGGGGGGGGGGCGGGGGGGAGAGAAGAAATCTGGACTGTCGCAGAATCTGGGAGAAGGAAGGGGGGAAGGGGGGCGGGTGGGGGGGGGGTGGGGCCGGTTGGCTTTCCCCTCCCCTACACACCCAGAGGTAGCTTGGTCAAGAATAGGAAACAGTTTACTCCGAAGATTAATCGGTATTTGTTGTCCTTGTGACAAGGAGATAATATGCGGGATAATGGGACGTGGCGTCTCACTCCCCGGAGCACGACGAAGCCTGGGGGCTCCAGGCCGGGGGCGGCGGCGCGGGGACGCCGACGGGGCTGCCCGCGCGTCAGTGAGCTCCCGGACCAGCTCCGGGTGCCCCGCGCCTCCACGGAGCCGGGCTAGAGAAGGGAAAATCGGTAACAGTATGCGAAATATCTGGTACAAAGGATGCTTCTGTCACTCGCAAGAATTTGTTATGGGAACAATCCTGTCGCTCTGTAATTGCTCATTAGAGAACGTTTTGTTTCTCATTAAGGCGACATGAATAAGCGTCTAGTTGAAGGAGACAGCTGTAGAAATGTTCCACAAGAGACCTCTGGACACGATTCGGCACCAATTGCCAATTAGACATGTCAGTTTTAAGAGCAGAAAACAATATAGGACGGACACTGGGAAGATAGGGAGCAAAGCGCTCGCTCAGTGTTTCCCAGCGCGGCCGCTGGGCCGGCGGAGGCCTCCTGATGCGCGGGGCCCGGCCTCCCCGGGGCGACCCCGCGGGCCCTCTTGTCGGATCCGGCCCCGACCCAGCGGCCTCCCGGGGTGCAACGGGCACACCCGAGGAGGCGCTGCCTCCACTCCGGCCGCAGGCCTAGGCCCACTGCCGCCTGGGTTGACAGGGAGTGACAGGGCTGAGTGTAGACCACCACACCCTCACCTGACCTCTGAAACTATTGGAGTCCCACGTGCGCACACTGGACACACCCAAGAGACACCCGAACTTGGCACTCCCCAGCGCCCGCCCCCAACCCCCAGCAAACCGGAGGTCCTTGTGACCCCTCCCCCGCCGAGGCTGGCCGCCAGGGTCCGAGAACTCTTGGGGAGGGCGCGGGGCGCGGTGGCCGGGTCTGGGAGGGCTGAGCCCAGAGCTTTTACCCCCTCGGTGCCAGGGCTCACGTTAGCTTGGGGCCTAGAGGACGTCCACCCTCCTGCTTCCCAGAGCCCGGACAGAAGCCCAGGGCAGCAGTTTTGCCAGCCCCTCTGTTTCCACCAGAGGTGGCGCCTGATTAGGGCAGCTTTCCGTCCTGGGAAGCTGGAGGGCAGGAAGCGAGACCCTCACGCAAGGACCCCGTGGTGATGGTTGCGGCGGGAGGTGGCGCTAATTCAGGAGCTTTTAACTTTTAGGCGCCCAATAGCTGGAGAATTCTGACTCACCCACTGCCAATTCCCCCTCTGCCCCCGCGAGAAACCCACTCCGATGCAGCGACCGCGGGTGCCGACCGCCGCCCTCGCTGCGGGGGCAGGACACGCCGGGCCACCGGGGCGGAGTCCCGGGCGTGGGGGCGCGGGGAGCTGGTGGCGGGCTTCAGCCGACGCGCCCCTGGAATCCTCAGACCTGTTGGTGCTAAGAAGGCCCCCCTCCCTCCTTCGCCCCCTCTCCCGGCCCGGGAAGCCGTTTTGGGGTTTAAAGAGTCCATTACTCCGAAAGCATAAGGCGAGGTTAGGTCTCAGAGGGAGACAAATATGGTTTCCATCTGATCAACGCCATGCGGCGGTGAATAAAATCGTGACGACGTGGGCTGACAACAACAAGAGACAACTCTATCCAGCCCCAATTCTCTAGTGATTTGGTGGTTTTAGGGATCACGGAGACACTTTTTCTTATCTCCTCCCCCCACCCCCCACTCCCATAATACCCCGGCCCTCTATAGGATTTAGTCAGTCTCTTTTCAACAGATGCTACAATGTTTTGATCCGCGCTCCAGAGCTGAAAAGGTGCCGCAACCGGGTTGCTATCTTTTCTTGCTTGTTTTCCGCCTCACTGATTAAGACACTAAGAAACTAAGGAATGATTTTATTTCCCAGCGTCTTTTTTTTTTTTTTTTCTCCTCTCCTTCTTCCAGGAAACAAATCCTATCCCCAGCGTCAGATGGTCCTGGGGCTGGGATAATGGGAGGCGCTTTCACTCGCCTTCTCACGGATTAGGCTGGAAGGTGGACGGCGACCATTGAAGGCCCCTTCTTTGCGCGCTCCGAGGGGGCGCCTTTTAAAGAAGATATCTTAATTGTCTGCCACTTAGGTTTATCATTTGGAGAATTTGAGATCCAACTTTTAGTTTTATTTTGTTAAAAGCTTTAAGAGTGGAAGGTAAATCCACTGAAGGGGAGGAAAAGGGGGGCGCCCAATCTAAGAGTGACCTCTCCTTCAGCGCCTGGCTGCGAACAGTTGCTACTTTGAAAGTAGCGAACAAACTTTCAGCGGGGTACGCCCGCTCTGCAGGGTCGTGGAGGGATCCTGCCGCCCCGGGTTTCTCCTGACGGGCCTCAATTCCGCCGTCCCCGCCCCCCAAAGGGCTCTCCATCCCCTTTGACTTCCCCTACCCCTTAAATGTCTGTTCCCAAGTGAGAGCCACGCCTGCGTTTGTGTGTGAGAGACAGGAGACAGAGAGAGATGGGGGGAGGAGGGGGGAATGAGAGCGTGCAAATCTCCAAGTTTTAAAATTAGTAAAATGTCAGAGAAGCAAACGAGAATAGAGAATGCTATCTGCGGGGGTCTTCTGAGGGAAACCTGGGCAGCTTTGTCTCATTGGTGAGATCAAATATGCTAGAAAAAGGACTGGGGTGGGCATGAGTGACCTGGCAGGCACGAGTCACCACTCCCGCGAGATCGGATCGTGTTCTTCTCAACGCCCCGGTCCCTAAACGTCAGATGGTCGGAGATTTTTGTGTTTTCCAAAAGGAATAACCCACAGGCCTAGTTTCTAGTTAACTGGCCAAAAAGGTCTATTTCTAAAGTCTTCCCCGTTCGCTGAATCTGAAAATGGGGGGGGGTGACTATTCTTTCTTTTTACTTTGGAAAGTCACCTGGAAACTTGGGGCAGTAAATGAGTACAGACACTTGTGCCCACACACGTGAGTCCAGCGTCTCCCTCAGCTAAGTAGCCCTCCCCAGACCCCTCTACCTCTCTGAAGTAGCGCAGGAAGACCCAAAGTAGAGCCGGTCTATTTAGTAACTGTCTCTCCCTTGTCTTCCCTTTCTCCTTTCTCTCCGTCTCCTTAGACCCTCTTGCCCTTTTTTCCCCCTCAGCACTTTTTTCTGTCCTTCTTATACCTTTCTGGTCTCTGTCTCTTTGAGGCCTTCTCTCTTCCTCGGTCTTTTTCCGCCCCCTCCTGCCTCCCCTCCAACCCGCCCCCCTGGCTCCATCCTCCCTTCTGTCTCCCTCCTCCACCCCAGACCTGGTCTCCATCCTCCCTGCCTTCCCCATCCGCCCCTCCCACACAAGCCTGCCTGGTCCCCGTCCACTTTCTCTGCCTCCCCCCACCCCCTGCTCTGGCCCCCCATCCACCCTCCATCCCCCCAGCCAAGCGCCCTAAATAGCATTGAGGCGCCCGCTCTTCGGACAGTGATTAATGATAGCAGAGCAGAGGGGTTAACACACTTCACTGAAAAGTCTGTTGACTGGGCTTCTTGTAACACAATGTGGCCCGCTGCACGCCTCAAGAGAATCCTTTTGTTGTCCGCGCTCATTGTGGCCTCAAAATTCTGCCCACGAAAGTTTGCCAACGCTCCTGCCCCAGGAGTTTAATAGTTTCCCTTACTCGCGGGGCATTGTGCAGCGCTGAAAAGCAGCCCCTCGCTATTCAAGTGTTGGTGGTCATCTCAATAGATCTCCAAGGGCCCATATGGTGGCCAGTGCCGATGAATCCGCCTGTTTAAATGGGGGAGAAAGTTGGGGTTTTAAAACATTTCAAAGTTCCTGAAAAGATCCCACTAGATCCTGTCACAATTCCCTGAACTCTTTGAAGGCGCTGCCTATTGTCTCCTGGTTATAAATGATATTCCTGGCCAAGTCGATTCCCACCAAGACGCCCCTCCCCCCCCCGCGAAATTTCTAGGATTGGGGGGGCAGCCCCTGTTGGTATCCCTTGGGAGCCTCAGGACCTAAAACCCGGGACCCAGTTTGCAGTGGCCCTGGAGGCCCCGTGAGGGCTGAGTCCTCCCTTCAGACAGGAGCAAGAGGTAAGGCAAGATGCAGCTAGCCCAAGTGTACATCTTGCCCTCCAAGCAGCAAGGGAAAACAATAAAACTTTCCCCTGTTTAATGATAGAAATTACATTAAAAGTGGTGGAAATGCCCTAATTAAAAATGTACCACTTAAATGATATGCCAGGGACTCAGCTGCAGCATAGCATATTTAGCTAGTTAGTGAACTCTCTACTATTTCTTTTTTAAAATTACACGTTAAAAATTTAAAAGAAATCTTACTTTTCTCTGGTGCAACACATTACAAAGAATGGACAGTCCTTTTATCTAAATATAAAATTCCATTTTCAGCAATTATAGCCTGTTCTTGGTGATGATATAATTACAGCTGTGCTCGTAATAGGTGTCAAGGCAAAGCGCACTCATACAATAGTTGAATAAAACTGCAGAACAATGCGAGCATTTCTAAATTCACAACCTTTAAAATGAAATTGACTGTGCAGAATTCAAATAAAAACTAGATAAATATTTTTTTAAAAAGATTACAAGCTTGGTTTGGTTTCTTAATAGCATTTTCTACAAACCTATCAACATCTAATTGATTAGATAGGAATTACTGATTATAGATCAGCTGAAATCTTGAACATCACTCTTCTATTTTCCCAACAGAGCTATAGGTAAATAAATTCTGTAGGGAAAGGGAACTGAGCGGGGCATTTGGGACTCAAGGTTAGTTATGAGACCATTTGAATTGGAAACTTCAGGGCTTGTTTTGTTCTTCAAAGACATGTTACTCCGTAACGTCTATATTGTACAGTCTCTTCCTGACAAAAACAGATAAAAAGATAAAAACTTGATTTAAAAAAAAAGAAAGATAACGGATGTCACTCATGTCTTTTATTAGGAGACACTTAGTGACCTAGGGGATGTCCTGGTGAGACTGTCAGAATGTACTGTTCTTGGAGTTTATGGCTATACCCCGGCTCCAAGTTATTCCAGATTTCTCTTACTGCCCTATGCTTTTTGTTCCAGATGGCTGCCAGCAACAGGAAGGAGGGGGAGAGAATACCAACTCCATCAGTTCCAACGGAGAAGATTCAGATGAGGCCCAAATGCGACTTCAGCTGAAGCGGAAGCTGCAGAGAAATAGAACATCCTTTACCCAAGAGCAAATTGAGGCCCTGGAGAAAGGTGATGGAGTTTTTCAAAGTAGACAAGCAGTAAATCAAACTAAATGCCCCATCTTCAGTACAAAGAGCTAAATTTAGCCAGGGCCCTTTGCATAGAGGACTGAAAAGGTTTCTTTTTCCTTTTGGCCGCCCCCCCCCCCCCCCCCCCCCCCGCATTTTTTCTGTGTGCGTGTGTGCGTGTGTGTGTGTGTGTGTGTGTGTTTTCTTTCTTCTTTTCTTGTACCCATAATTCAAAGGCTAAGAGTCTGACTTCTCATAAAGAAGAAAATGATGATTTGGCTAATTCAGGCCACAGAAGGGTCCTTGAATGAATGTCATTCCAAAGAAATTTTAACTTGGTTTTGGTGGGATAGCTCTTCCAAGTACAGTCAATCCCTGTGGTAGTAGCATTTTTAAGGGAAGTGGTTGGAGGTGACAGAAATGGGGAGGTAGGAACCAGCTTGAGCCGGGGCTTGGTTGACACACTTTGTGTAGTTCTGGCACAACATGGAAAACTCAACTTCCTCTTTCAGAGTTTGAGAGAACCCATTATCCGGATGTTTTTGCCCGAGAAAGACTAGCGGCCAAAATCGATCTACCTGAAGCGAGAATACAGGTACCCAGGGGCCATGTGGTTTCATGCTTTGTGACGCCTAACATTTGCCCTTTCTGGAGACCAAGGCGCTTCTAAGGAATATTCAGTCTGCTAAATGATTTGCTGCCCCTGGGGGACGGGGCCTGGGAGGTGGGGAGCAGTGGCGGCACCAGGGGGGAGGTTGAGCTGGGGGTAGGCACAGGCCTGACCTGGTCCATCTGATTTCCAGGTATGGTTTTCTAATCGGAGGGCCAAATGGAGAAGAGAAGAAAAACTGAGGAACCAGAGAAGACAGGCCAGCAACACACCTAGTCACATCCCCATCAGTAGTAGCTTCAGCACCAGTGTCTATCAGCCGATCCCACAACCCACCACGCCTGGTAATTGGAATATTCATAGTCCTCATAAATGTGCCGCACCTGTTTGCCCTGGCTCTGACTCGCGGCATGACTGACCGTGGTGTCCTTCTTCTGCAGTTTCCTCCTTCACCTCTGGCTCCATGTTGGGCCGGACAGACACAGCCCTCACAAACACGTACAGCGCTCTGCCCCCCATGCCCAGTTTCACCATGGCGAATAACCTGCCTATGCAAGTAAGTGAGGCCGCTGACTGCCTGCGTGAAACGGGTGCCTGGGAGAAGTAGTGAGGAGGGGGTCAGGGCCTGCAGACCTCCCCGGCCACGCGCGCCCTGGGGAGCCTTGCTCGCCACGGTGATAGGCTTCACCAGTCAAGTTTTAACAGTCAATCCAGTCTTTTAGTCGGACTGATGGATTGATGGGTTCATGCTCTGAAGAAAACATAAAAACCAAGTTAATCTGCCTTTTGCTCAGAGGGAATGGTAGCTTGATAACGTTGGATGGGGACGGGCCATGTTTTGGGTACCAGAAAGTGGAAATAATGCTGGCACATTATTTGATAGTAAGGGGTTAGTATACGTAAATTTGGGTTTATATTAATGTGTTCATATTAATGATCACATAACCTGTGTACGCATTTTGGGATATTATTTAGAGTATATGTGATGAACCAGTGAGGAAGGAAAAAAGGATCAGAAATAAGATTTCTGTTTGCATAGTGGGATATACTTTAATATACAGGAACGGAGAGTTTTCTTTCTATATCTTACAATAAAAAAAGGAAGAGAAGTACTTGCTAAAAATTTAGCACATCTTTGCCATGAATTACATAATGAGTCTGTGGCACGCCAGCTGCCTGGATACGTTGATGGTCTTCACTTGGTATAACAACCTGTCTCTACTCTCAGTTCTGCTGTGAACGGTTATCAGCTCCTACATGTGCAAGGCCCTGTACTAGGCTGCTAGCCCTTTCTGATGGAAGTTGCTTAAGGCAGGTGGGGTGGACTACAGCTCTGGATCTGGATGGATTCTTGATGGGAAAAAAACTGGTCTTCTAGTGGGCCTTCTGTGGTGACTTTGCCAGGACTCCTGTTTGTGCAGTACTTGCAAGATGCCGGGTGGCGTGAGATTGGCCAGCCTGAGCCCCTGCTGGAAACAGTGCTGGGGTTACACAGATTGTTTACTCACCCCTGAATGTCTTTTGATGAATTTCAACTCCAAATAACAGCAAAATAAATGTTTCACAGTCTTCAGACTAAAATAGGAGCAGCTACATAGGCAACTTCAGAGGAATTTATTCACATTGCATCTGGATATTAGTAGCCATAGTGCAATTAATGTATCTTAAGAGATTACCAGCCCATTGGTTGGTATTACTACAACTGCTGTGGAATTTTCCAGAAGTCAGGTTGCCTAGAGGAAATGATTTTGGGAATTAGAAACAAATGCAAGCTGAAATTCTGGCAGGGCCCTCAAGGCCTGCTTGCCTCTTTGAACCTGATGTTAGCAGTCACCCTCTGACTTTAATAAGGCCGCCGAGTGTCTTGTTTAGTTTTGCAAATTATAGCAACATCTAGATTTCTGCCAAAATAACAAAATTTGTATATGAGAAAATATTTAGAAGCAATTACATAGGTGCTACTATTCTATTAAGGTTGTTTCCACCTGTAGACTGGTGTGGGGTCAATTTATTTCAAACACTAACTTTTAAGTTACACAATTTATACAAAACAAAACATATATACATTCATAAAGCATAAAGTAAAAAGTTACTAATAATACTACTATTCAGAGAAAATTTACCCTCTGAATTTTGGAGTTGGGGGGCGGGTGCTGGTCTGTAGGTCCATTAGTTCATCTTGTTGACCAAAATCTTCAACCATTTTACAAAGGGTGGGTGTCTTCCGCTGAACCTTCTCTAATGGGTCACCCTTTCTGAGAAGGTGAATCTTGAAATGTTAAACATTTCTGCAGTTTGCAGAACAGAGTAGTAGTACTATCATTTCCCTTATTCCTGGCATTATGTTTCTATTAATTCATCCCAATCTTGCTGCCCTGGAATAGGTCCATGTGAGCTCATTTGTCCCAGCTGTGTATTTCTTATTCACTTCAGAGAAAGGTTTACCTCCTCAGTACCACCAGTCCAAACAGTTAGAGGGTAGCAACCCAATTTTATGGATAAAACCTAATCTGGGGGCGCCTGGGTGGCTCAGTTGGTTAGGCGACTGCCTTCGGCTCAGGTCATGATCCCGGAATCCTGGGATCAAGTCCCGCATTGGGCTCCCGGCTCAGTGGGGAGCCTGCTTCTCCCTCTCACCCTCTCCCCTCTTATACTGTTTCTCCCTCTCTCTCTCTCTCTCTCTCTCTCAAATAAATAAATAAATAAATAAATAAATAAAATCTTAAAAAAAAAAACCAATATGGGTTTTTAGATCTATAAGGAAGTCACAGCTAATTCTCAGAATGGGGCTAGATATTTACTGACACTTTTGACCATTTTAATCTGAGATTACTGATCTGCCTCTTCAAAGAATCTTTAATCCCATGAGTCCAACTATGAAAGGCTCCCAGGGTCTCTGAAGCAGACTTTCTAGAGAACTCCTCACACAGGTCTCTGCCGAAAGCTTGAGATACAGGATTTGGGGGTCACTAGATTCCCAAATAGATTGGATTTGCAGAAGAGGGGGTGTTTTAATGGAAGTCCTCATGCTATAGCTTCTCTGAAGATGCCGTCAGAGGGCCAAGATAAAAATGGACAAAAACCCTATTAATTTTATGGATAGTGCCCACCATCTAGCTAGACAGTTGTCTGAATGCATAGTACTTTTAGGCAACTTTACTCTAGCAGTGGTCAATGGAAGGCCTGGTTGGAGGCCTGAATGCCAAGCTATCCTTTGGAATTCCAATACTTTACACGAGGGCATCTTTAATGGTCTGACTTGTTGGCACAGTTCCTGGGGAGGAGAGAGCCTGGGGATGTGGCCGTGGGATGTGCTGCTCGGTAACCATTGGTTTGCCTTTCTCCTCTTAGCCCCCCGTCCCCAGCCAGACCTCCTCGTACTCCTGCATGCTGCCCACCAGCCCTTCGGTGAACGGGCGGAGTTACGACACCTACACCCCCCCCCCATATGCAGACACACATGAACAGTCAGCCGATGGGCACCTCGGGCACCACTTCCACAGGTGAGCCACCGTTCCCTGTAGGCTACACGGAGGTGGCCTTCACAGCTTCTTTTGCCACGTGATCTCCCTTCACTCAAAGTGAACCTCAAAAGAACCTCCTGGCCTTGTGTCATGGTGTGTTTTAACTCTTTGCTGCTCGCTTCTCTGGGGAAAACTGATTGGAAGGGGGAAATTCAGTCAAGTGAGTTAGTAACCTGATACCATGTGGACAAAAAGCAAAGTTGTTTTTCCCGAATTTGGTCACAGAAGTTGTATATGAAGACAATACCTGAGAATGTAAGTTTTCTGAAGAGGGGTTATTAGCCAGAGCTCAGTGGTGAGGGGGTGAGGGCCCAAGCGAGGGAGCAGCATGGTGAGTGTTGTCAGAAGACTTCTCACCTTCCCGACTCCTCCCTGTCTTTCACTGCAAATGAAGAAGTACCACAAGGGCTTTCCAGAGATAGTTGTATTGCTGAAGTTCCAAACATACAAACAAATGGAGTTTTTTTTTTGGTGTTGTTGTTCTCTTTCGTGTGGGAGGACTTGGGATTGAATAGATATGTATAAACATGTTATCTGGTTTCTGAAGGTGCTTCTTCTGTTTGTGTATTTTTAAAAATACAGTTAGAACGTTAGAGATTATTAGAGATTATTTTTTAACCTATAAATTCATACTCCGTGCTTGTCTCTCGAAGGGAATTTCTACATGGCTATTTCTTTCATCCACTTCTAGGACTCATTTCCCCTGGTGTGTCAGTTCCAGTTCAAGTTCCTGGAAGTGAACCTGATATGTCTCAGTATTGGCCAAGATTACAGTAAAAAAAAAAAAAGGATATATTGTGTTAATTCAGTCAGTGACTATGCGGACACAACAGTTGGGCGTTCAGGAAGGAAAGAAAAATGGCTATTAGAAGCACTTCAGTTCTGCAATTGTGTCCTGTATTGTACCACTGGGGAATGGACTTGAAACAAGGACCTTTGTATACAGAAGGCACGGTATCAGTTGGAACAAATCTTCATTTTGGTATCCAAACTTTTATTCATTTTGGTGTATTATTTGTAAATGGGCATTTGTATGTTATGACAAAAAGAACAACGTAGACTGGATGGATGTTTGATCTGTGTTGGTCATGAAGTTGTTTAAAAAAAAAAGGAAACCATGATCAACAAGCTTTGCCACGAATTTAAGAGTTTTATCAAGATATATCAAATACTTCTACCCATCTGTTCATAGTTTATGGACTGATGTTCCAAGTTTGTATCATTCCTTTGCATATAATTAAACCTGGAACAACATGCACTAGATTTATGTAAGAATATCTGTTGGTTTTCCAAAGGTTGTTAACAGATGAAGTTTATGTGCAAAAAAGGGTAAGATATAAATTCAAGGAAGAAAAAAGTTGATAGCTAAAAGGTAGAGTGTGTCTTCGATAAAATCCAATTTGTTTTATGTCAAAATGTAAGTATTTGTCTTCCCTAGAAATCCTCAGAATGATTTCTATAATAAAGTTAATTTCATTTATATTTGACAAGAATACTCTATAGATGTTTTATACACATTTTCATGCAATCATACGTTTCTTTTTTGGCCAGCAAAAATTAATTGTTCTTAGATATAGTTGTATTACTGTTCACAGTCCAATCATTTTGTGCATCTAGAATTCATTCCTAATCAATTAAAAGTGCTTGCAAGAGTTTTAAACTTAAGTGTTTTGAAGTTGTTCACAACTACATATCAAAATTAACCATTGTTGATTGTAAGAACCATGCCAAAGCCTTTGTATTTCCTTTATTATACTATTTTCTTTTTAACCTTATAGTGTGGTGTTACAAATTTTGTTTCCATGTTAGATTATCATTCTAAACCAACGGTTCCTTTCATACATACACTAATTCTTAAAGAAATAATTCTTATCATTTCATTAATTTGAAATGTGTTAGGAAAAAAATTCCACTTAGAGCTCTGTGTAGATCTGTGCCCATCTGTACCCACAACATACACATAAAATGGTCACATTCCCCAGCTAGCCATTTAGTTCAAAAGCTCAAAGGCTAGAAATGATTTAAAAAATGCAACAGCTATTAACTAGGAATTGTCTTTGGAATTAGGGCTGGCATTTTCAATCTGGGCAGATTTCCATTGTCGGCCTATTTCAACAGCGATTTCACTGAAGTATATTCAAAAGTAGATTTCTCATACAAGACTCTCTGAAAGCTGTCGCCTTTCTCCAATAGGTCCTCTCCCTTTCCTCTCTCCCTCCCCTTTGCACAAGAGGCATCATTTCCCATTGAACCACTACAGCTGTTCCCATTTGAATCTCGCTTTCTGTGAGGTGGTGGATGGTTGGAGGGTGGAGGGGGGATGTTGCATGTCAAGGAATAATGAGCACACACACATCAACAGACAACAACAAAGCGGACTGTGACTGGCCGATGGGAGCGAAAGGCCTTCAGTCATTGGCAGCTGAAGCCAAACATTCCCAAATCTATGAAGCAGGGCCTATTGTCGGTCAGTTGTTATTTGCAATGAAGCACAGATCTGATCATGTTTAAAGTGGCAGCATGCAGGGCAGGAGTGCTTGAGCCCCAGCGAAGGAGGGGAAAAAATAAGCCTTTGTTGGGTGAAAAGGGGCCCGTCTGAGACTTTTATTTCTGTCTGTTCTGTGCAACATATAAGTCAATATAGATAAGTTCTCTTCTGCCAAGTTCAGGCGGAGGCTGGGGCTGCTGGCCGACTCCATGAAATGCTTGCACAGGCAGAAAGCTCTGGGGACAAAGACACACTTCCACTGAATTGTACTCTGCTCTTTTGTTTTGTTTTGTTTTGAATCCCCAAAGGCAAATGGTCAGAAATATAGAAATTAATTGGAGGCTTTAAGAAAGAGACTTCTAGTTCCCCATCCACTCTTTTCTGGCGAAGGGCTTACTTGGGGACAGATAGCTGTGATTCATCTCTGTGGCATTACAGGTGTTAATCATTGTATTCCACCAGAGTTGCTGCACGTTTAGGGACAACTTCCTCGGTTGATTGCGGTTTTTAGATGTGTGTGCATGTCGGTGGATTCAGTGTCAGCCTTCGCTGTACGCTTGCACGCTTCTGCAGTGCGCACACGGGCGCTCGGTCGGCGCACTTGCCTGCGCAGATACTTCCACCTCCTGACATTTTGCAGCCTCGATTCCCCGAGGGACGGTGCCCAGGGCACTGTCAGAGAAGGGCTGTGTGGTGCGTGCTGCAGCTGCTGGCTGGCTCACTTCTTCCCTGCAAAGGAGGGACACTTTCCAACTGGCTCCAACGTGGGCCAGGGTCAGGCAGCCAGGCCTGGCCCACGGCTCCGTGGTGCAGAGAGCACAGACTTCGGAGCCCTTGGTGCGGCTCTCTGGGTGCTTGGAGCCGCGGATGGGAGAAGGGGGGGTGGAGCGCTGTGTGCGGAGGGTCCGTGTGTGCGCACGCGCGCTTGGGCACGGATCCGTGTCCTCCGAGGGTCAAGGCTGCCAGGGCGCCGCGGCACAGCCTGGTTTCGTCTGAAGCAGCGGAGGCTCAGCTGCAGAAGCTCCCGGGTCCAGCAGGACAGAGCGGCTGCCCTGCCTTCTGCCCTCACCCCAGGGAGATGAACCGTCCTTCCGAGTGGCGCTCCAGGCGCTCCCCCGGGGCCAGTATGTGGAAGCAGGGCTCCGGAGGTGGCCTTTTACTCGTCGTTGAAAGAATTCATTTTTATTTACTGATAGGTATATTTATATAATTTATCCATGGGAACGCTGCACGGATGCCCTGATGCCATCGTCCAGGATGGTGCCCACCTACCTACCTGTGCTGTCCTCAGTAGAATCCCAAGGCTCCACAGCCTATGATTTTTCTCTTAACTTGACCGACTTAGGAAGACCAGGTGAACAGAATTAGAGCTGAGTGTCTGAATAGGAAACATTCAAATTACTTTGAGTAAAAAACTGCTTTTTACTACAACGAGTTTCCAGAATATTCCTCCCCCAAAGCTGGTAAACAACTGGCTTCTTGATGTGGCTCACAATCATTTCTGCCTACCCTTTCCACCCCCCTCAGAACTAGGTTTCCTCAAATTCACTTACACAGTAGTAAGATTTAGCTTTGTTTTGTGAATTTTTGCCATCTTGGCACGGTGTCTATATTCTCCTGCTTATTTCTTTTTGCACTGGGCCTTAATGTTAGCAAGATTAAAAAAAATGCTTTTCTTTTCTCTATAATGTTTGGCTCACCAAGGCCAAGCACAAATGCTTCCCTTTTCTGTTTCTCAAGCAAAAACCTCATCTGTAGCGTTTTTTGTTTTTATTTTTTGCCTGGTCCTGAAATGATTTCACTGCTCATTTTTAAAGTTCAAAGTGCAAGTGCTTAGGGTTAGTATTAAAGTTTGACGGTGCTGATGGTGACTATCTTTGGAAAGCATTAAGAGGATGTTTTAGAAATGACATTGATAATGGGCTCTAAACAAATGAATAAGGGTTCCCCCCCTTCCCTTTTGTATGTGTATGCGTGTGTCTGATTCTTTAAAATTGATAGACAGGGAATTGATTGCATGAAGAGTGTTGCTTCCTTTTGAAGTGGTGTTTTTTTTTTTTTTGGCTAATGTTAGTATTTGCAGATCTTGGAGGTAGAGATAAAAAATAAATGGAAGAGGAGGAAGAGAAAAGTGGAAATCTCCTGGTGGCTACTAGAAAGAAATTCAGGTCTTAGAACCTCAGCACCTGAAAGCAGGGTGCGGTAGTCAAAATATTTACCTCATGTTAAAGAAAGGCAAATCTAGTGTAAGAAATGAATGCTAGATAGGGTTATGAAGTTTTAGAAACATTTAAAAGATATGAGGACATTTCAAATACTATGTTTGGCACTGTTACTTAAATATTTATATCTTTGAGACAAGTTGATGATTGAAAAAAAAATCTGTTAATGGAGTTCATAATGTATCAAAATGGTCTGTATACCTACTGTAGCTTTACTGAAGACCAGTATTTTTGGGTAGTAAGTTATTAGCAAATGGATAATTGATAATGTTTCTAGAAGAAAGGAAAACACATTTTTAGAGTGGGTTTTTATCAGAGGAAAACAAAAATATATATCCCTCTGTAGCTTATTTTTGCAAAGCCTGCCTAGAGAATCAGAACAACAAAGTATTTGGATCTGCGTTTTGGAAAGCCCAGCTACGATTATTGTTCAACATGCACTTTTACTGAGTTTGAAAAGTTTCTTTTATATTTAAAATAACGGTTCAAATATGCACATTCAATTTTTATAGTATTTATCTATTTGCAAAGCATATATTAACTAGTAATTGGGTGTTAATTTTATAGACATGGTAGCCAGGGTAGTAAATCAATGACCTATTAAGTATTTTTGACAAGCAATTTACATATCTGATGACCTCACACTTCCTTTTCAGAGTCCAATGCTATATAATTGTTCCATTGTGTGTTCGTATAAAATGAATCACAACATAAGAAAAAGGTTAGTTATTAAAATAATAATCCAACTAAAATATTCATTTAAATTTATTCAAATTGTTCATAATGCTTTCAAAGGACGTAGCAAAGCTTTTGTGGAGTATCTGCACATTATTTATTATCTATGGACTAAATTGATTTTTTTAAGTTGCTTTAAATTTTAAAAGCACCTTTGCTTAATATAAAAGCCCTTTAATTTTAACTGACAGATCAATTCTGAAACTTTATTTTGAAAAGAAAATGGGGAAGAATTTGTGTCTTTTGAATTAAAAGAAGTGAAAAAAAATAAACCAGACATTCTAAAAAAATAGAAGAAACCTGATTTTTAGTACTAATAAAATAGCGGGTGACAAAATAGTTGTCTTTTTGATTTTGATCACAAAAAATAAACTGGTGGTGACAGGATATGATGGAGAGATTTGACATCCTGGCGAATCACTGTCATTGATTCAATTATTCTAATTCTGAATAAAACCTGTATACAGTGTGTGTTTATGCTACAGTGGGTTTTTTTTTTTAAGTGACTGACATTCATCATGTTGGTTAGACAGTTTTAAAAACCTAGTCTTTGTTTTCTACAATGTTGTCAAGAAAAAATAAAGTATAATTTGTGGTGTATTACAAGCAAACTGCTTAAAAATGCTAGTTATAACTGCTTCAAAATTTATTCTAACATCACTGAAGATGCATTTTAGAAATTCAGTTTCTCCTAATGGATGTTAAGCAGCTTTTTAAAAATTGAAATTCTTTACTTAAATGCAAGTTATTTTCTAACCTTCACTTTTTGCCTATTTGTCAAAAGCTTTGAGAATATGGAACTGTGATTCAAAAACCTAGTGTTTTATATGAAAACTGGTTCGATGTGCTAACTACCCCCCAAATACATGTCTATATGGTTATAAATGTGCATACCCAACCAGCGTTCTTGATTCACAAAGGGCTTACCTGATGCAATGGAAATCTTAGTTTCAGTTTGCTACTTTGTCTCAGACCTATGTTCTGTAAAAATCTCTCACCAAGCTTCAAATACATGCTTTCCCCTAGTGTTAATGTAGCTGTCAGTTTGAATTTCAATCCTGAATTATGTCTGCTGACGTAATTTCATAGTGCTGACTTCAATTGTTTAGGATTACTAAACAGAAGACCATCAACTTCTTTTTCTATGCTTTCTGTCACTCAAGTTCTTTAGATTTATTAACTACTATGGTAGACTACTGATCTTTAATGGACTCTTAATCCCGAAATATTATCTTGTGTTCATCAATTTAATAACAGGATGCATAAATGCAAATTCATTTTATTATAGTCTTCACATATATTAGCAAATGAATTTTTCATTTTTAAAAAACACCTTAGCACTTTTTGGTGGCAAGTGACTTTTGCAGAAATAAAGAGAAAATGTTTTTCATATGCAATTATGAATTTTATACTGTTTTATATGCTACCTGCTGTAATATGCACTTAACATGGACTAAGTGCCTTAATATAGGTATACTAATGACCATTGTGAGGCACTTTGAGTTTCTGACATTTTATTCAAAAATAAAATTACCTGCTTTCTCTAAATAGAGCAGAAAACAAAATTTTAAAATGAAAGTAGTTTTGCTGTACTCTTTCTGCATAAAAAGTTGGGTAAGGAAAATGAAGAGCGGTGGCCTCATTTTGCAATCCTAACTGTTCTTCAAGGATTAGAGGGTCAAATCGTTAAGAAAAATATTTACAGAAGCTATTAGCAATCATAATTAGGGTGTCATATAATTCTGCATGCAACGACTAAGGAGGAACCGCTAGAAGTCCAGGTGCTGCTTGCCTCCGGCCATCATGCCACAGCCTGGGCCCAGCAGCTTGGAGGATTCTGCCAGATCCTGTTTGCTTGAGCGGCTCACTGTGTCTGACAAGTCTGGAGGCAAATGCAGTCGCTGTGGCAGAAGATTTCGGAAGGAAAGAAAGAAGAAAAAAAATAATTTTGCTTTAGCTAGCACACTTCAGAATACAATATTATGCTCTGTTGATCAGCATTTAGTCTTGCAGATGAAATTCCTGCTAAAACAGTTCTTCAGACCGAGACCCAAGATAATCACATCTTCTTCCTACTAGGGTTTACAAATGCTAGCCATTGCAGACACTGGACCAGGGATCTTAGTGGAATGTTTCCAGAGTCCAAACCTAAACACATTAAGATTTCTCCTCTTTAGGTCAAAATGAAAATATGTAAATGCACACAAATAAAGGCATACTTGAGAAAGAACACTATTGTAATAATGGCGGGGTTGTTTGTTGGCTTTGCTTTGTTTTTGCCAGGGCTCCAAAATGCTATTTTTAAATTGAATGTAGCTTTTCAGCAATTATGGATTCCTCCAAATGCTTGCTTCCCTTTTATTAAGTTGACCTGATGATTCTATTTCAAGGCTATACTTTCTTTAGGAACTTACATTTTTTTGTAGAAATATTGACATAATGAAAAAAACAGATACCAGTCACAGGATCAAAATTTTTTATATCCTCAGATAAGTCAGCTATGACATCTGTTTCAGGTCTTTGTAAGTTTGTTTCTATGCATAACGTCGGTCATGTTTTCAAAAGTATAGTGTAGCTCTGAACATCTCCCCCATCTTAACTGTTTTTCTGTAGATTCAAGGAGGCTGATTCAAGCAGATGCACGAACTGACCATAAGTGCACAACAGTTACTGTAATTAGGGAGAAATATTCATATTTCAAAAGAACTTTTTTGGTTCTCAAAAGGATCTCTATCAAATTCCTTTTAACAACAGTGCCCCCAGCCTATACAATTTTCACAAAAATCCAAACTCAAAGGAACGTGTCTGTTGCGTGAGGCACAGAGTGGGGGTGCGACGTTAAAGATAAGTGAGGTAGGATGGGGGTGTCCCCTGATGACTAGCCAAAGCCTTGCAGGAGTGAACTGACCTGGAGACAACCTATCTGAAACCCTTCATCTGGAAAACACCCTATGATATGAAAAAAAAAAAAAAAAAAAGATGAAAAAGGTAGAAACACTTTTTTTTTTTTTTTGGTCAAAATACTATGATCCATCAACATATGTTCTGGAGAGTTTCTTTCCTGATAAAAGGCTTCTTCAGTGCTGTGTAAACACAAGCTGTGTGCAGAGGATCAAAATATTTTAAAACCTTAAAAAAATTTACGACAATATTCTTTGACTTCAGTTTGCAGGTACTTAGTTTTTAATGCAAATATACCTAGGATGGAAGACACTATTATGGACCTATGACCAACAAAGATGTCAGAGAGGTCAAGAAAACACTGTCATATCCATATAGTAATATCCACATAGTAACACTCATTTGTATCCATAGCACCCAACCTGTCATATATCAAATAACTAAATGTCTATTTCTTGAATGATTTTTAAAAAGTCAAATAAAGACATACTTGTTTCTTTGTTTTATTTTTTTTCTTTCATTTCTTCATAGCCTGGTTCCCCTCCCCACCCCCGAAAGTATTTCAGGCAGAAATGAAAGCAGGAAAGGCTCAAGAATCTAAAAGACATGCATGACTCTAAAGTCTGAGGTTATGAATGTCTTTGCAGTGTTAGCTCTTATCAGTGTTCATGGGAAGAAACTGGAGGGAAAGAGATATTTAATTATATGTTTGAACTTTAATGTTCCTTAAAGATCCTGTAGTTATTGCTAATAACTAGGATACATGCATGATCTGAAGGTTATCTGAAATGTAAAGAAAATTCACCATAAAAAAAGTGTGTGTGTATACTTTTGGTGGGGACCTCATAAAGATTATGTCAGATGGTGATTAGACTATTTAGGAAATCAACTGGACTCAACAAATACATAGAATCTACTCAAAGCAAGGTGAACAGAGCACCTTCCCCATTACTTCTAATTCCAGGAGCATGAGTAAGACAAGCACAGTGGTAACCATCAGAGTGAGCCCTCCAAGTGATGTCTGCAAGAAAGGAGAGACAAAGCCGAAATTGGGTGGGGGAAGGGGAGGAGAAAGCTTCATGGAGATGGGCGAGGTGTTAAATAATGAATTGATTCTGACATGTAGAGATGGTGATTTGCTTAACAGGGAAGCTGATACATACATCTTTAAGATGCGTTCGGGTGAAGGGTCATACTGTTTGGATAATCTAAATGAGGAAGCTAGTGTAGCTGTTCAGAACCAGCATAAAACAATTTATTTCAGGAGCTTACCTATTTGCTACAAATTTCTCTTCCTCTGCTTCTCTAGGCAATGAACGTGAGCCAGTTGGCTGAAAGCCCTTCATAGCAAAAGTAGCTAAATGTGACGTGTGACATGCTTGGAAATCTTTCAGGTTGAATGGGTTTGAAGAAAAGTCAAATATCATTCGTGTGTAACTTCTGAGCACAAAAATTTTGGTTGATATGGTTAAATGCTTCTAACCAAATGCTACATGGTAAACGCTAGTTTGCATACTTGTGTCCTTTGAAAAAGCCCAAGGATGGCTCTTGGAACTATGTGAGTGATTTTGCCGGCTCTGTTGATCGTTACTTGAATGAGCTTACTCTGCACTCTAAATTCTCAAGCTGTGGGTTTTGTTCTCTTCCTTTCTGAGCCTCCCCCTGTGCACCATGTCAGTGCAATGTGAGCAGCGAGGAAGAAGGAGAGATCAGGTTCCAGGCTTGCCAGGTGTGTCAGGGACTTTTCCTTTGAGGCTTCCAAAGCATTTACACACTTGACATGTAAATGGTCAGATGCTGCTGTACCCCAGATCTGTCTTCTGAAAAAATATGCTGTAAGAGACTCTGCATAGCATGTGACCTCCTTTCGATCAAAGCTGCAAGGCTGGGGGGACATACCAACTTTAGACCTTGAGGTTTCACTGAGTAATGGTTTAAATAAAAATCAGACTATTAAAAAAAATACCATACCATTTTCAACCTTGGAAACCAAATCAAGGTCGTCACCTTTCTCATTTTGTACCTGGAGTTTTGAGCGAGGGCCCAAAACTTGTATCCTGAGTGGAAATTTTTCCCACCTGATTTTCTTTTCCCAGATTCTGGGAGAAAGAGACTGTGTGGCTAATGCAGGAGATGCATCTCTGGCTGTCTGCCTATTTTTTCCATTAATGCCTTGTCTAAAATGATGCTTTCTGTGTAGGCAAAGGGATTTGAGAAAGACATGACAACTCCCAGTTTCTCACCGAGGCCTAGGTGATTTGCAGCGATCCCACTGGATTAATGGGTCTCTCCTCTCTGGTGCTGCAAGGTGGGAAACAGCGGGGCTGCCAAAGTACTCTGGCAGATTAGGGGAGCTCCTGCCAAAAGGCACCCTTAGGCCCCTAGGAAGCCCTGGGTCAGAATAAAGCAACAGCAGCAGGAGTGCTTTGCTCCGCAGCTCCGTGGGGTACCAAGTCCAGCCAGACTTTGAGATTCTTCCCCCTCTGCTTACATCTCTGTCTCTTTGTTCCTTCTTGAGTCAGCAACTAAGTGGGTCCTATAGACACACAAGATTGGATTTCCTGGCTCCACAGTTTCTCTTCCTAATTCCTTTCTCCCCGCCTGCCAGCCCCGTGCTCAGCACTCACAGCTCCCAGACAGAAGGGGCAAGATAATGAATCTAGATTACACCTGGATTTGAGACAAATTGCAGGTAAATACCCATTAAAGTAAGTTCAATCAATTTATATTTTTCATATTTTGCCAAGACCAAACCACCAGGCACTGTTTGTTTTCTGTTTGATGTAGTACATTTTAACCCTTCCCAGATGGAGAGTTGTTTTAATCCTTTTTATGTTTTGACATTTCCTGAACAGTCACACTTTGCATTAATCATATTCACAGAAATCAGTGTTAATGTTTCAAAATACTTTCTAATAGATTTTTCTTCTGTTCTTTAAAACACAGCCATTTTATTTTATTTTTTGTTTAAGATTTTATTTTTAAGTAATCTCTACACTCGGTGTGGGGCTCGAACTTACAACCCCGAGATCGAGAAACTCATGCTCTACCGACTGGACCAGCCAGGTGCTCCCATAGCCAATTTAAATGAAAACTTGTAAACACCTTAGAACATACAGGCTCTACACTGGTCACTTAACAGACGCAGCCAGGGAAAGTCTGATATGTCTGTCCGTCTGTCACTCCCTCTCAGTGACGTTGAACAAATCAGTTTTCCTGTGTGAGTCTCAGCGTGTCCTCATCTATCACTGGGGGGTGATTCTCCCTTCATGAGACTGTTGTCAGGATCAAATGACACGTATAAGTAGCCTCTGAGGTATCAAGTAGTACACTAATTTATTTTACCTCTTCTTGCTCCAAAAAAGTTGAGATGGCTTATAAAAATACATATGGCTCAACCAGATAAAAATAAGTGAGTTGATTAAGGCAAGGAAACAATTCTACAAATGTAATAAACTATACGTAATTATAAGCAACAATAACAGGCTATCAGACTTAGCCAGCCAGTCTCAGTCACTACGCTGGTTTCTGAGCACTGAGTGTACATTGCCCTCTACTGTGGCCCAGTAAAGAAACCAAAAAGGAAACTGCGATCACGGTCCTGGTTTCCGGAAAGATTTAAAAAGTCTAAACCGTTTCCCCCATACTTAGGAACGCGTAGCGAAAATGGGGCATGTCAGAGGCCTAGCTTCTAGGCCAGTGAAAATATGCATGGATGTACTGCACAGGCAACGTGGGTCCACCTTCTTTTAAAAATCTGTCGTTTGCACGTCTTCACTGCTGACAAAAGAATAAAGGACATGTCAGAAGGTGAAGCTTCTCTACTTGAGTCTTTTTTTTTTTTTAAAGATTTTATTTATTTGACAGAGAGAGAATGAGAGATAGAGAGCACGAGAGGGAAGAGGGTCAGAGGGAGAAGCAGACTCCCCGCTGAGCAGGGAGCCCGATGTGGGACTCGATCCTGGGACTCCAGGATCATGACCTGAGCCGAAGGCAGTCG